GGGCGCGGGGCTCACCTAGCCAGTGCTCCCCGGTGAGCCTGCCGAAGCCATCCCGGTAGGCCTCCCAGCCGCGGAAGAAGTTCACCGAGCCGTCTGCGCGCCGTTGGAACACCTGCAACGGGAGGTAGGGATGGAGTGCTGGCGCCACCCACCCTGGCCCCAGGTCTGTCCCCTGCCCCTCCTGTCCCTGCCCCTCCTGTTCCCGCCCCTCCTGTCCCTGCCCCTCCTGTCCCCTGCCCCTGCTGTCCTCCTCTCACCCGTCTACACACACACACACACACACACACACACACACACACACACAGGCTTGGCCTCCAGAGCTCCTGCTCTTAAACCTCCTCTGCTCTTAAACGTCCCCACCCGCCCCCCATGCCCCGGGCAGGGAGGGGTCCGCGGGGGCCTGGGGAACCGAGAGCCCCCAGCACCTTGGGGGAGGGTGGGGGGTCCGCAGCCGCTGGGCTGACTCGGTGCTCGATGAGCAGCCCGGCAGCTTCTGTTCCTCGTGTAATAACATTCCTGGTTTGGGAGTCGCAAGTCCCATCGGTTAAATTGCTTTGAAATAAGTACCAGGCTGGCCCCGACCAGAGCCGCCCGAGTGTGCACAGATCCGCTGACAGGCCCTCCCGCGCCCCACGCCCACGTTTCTGTCCAACAAGCCTTTGCTCCTCGTTTGCTGAGGCCGCAGCCCGGCCGCCGACCCCTCCACCTGGGCCGTCTGAGGGGTGAGGTTTGGCTGCGGAGCCTGCGACCTGCCAGTTTCATTACTAAGCAGCCTGATTCCAGCCGCAGGAACGGAACCGCCTGGTGCAGGTGTGCCCGCCGGTGCTCCTGTCCGTCCCTGGGGACCCTTCAGTCTCAGCATTTGGGCAGCTCTGACCTCAGGCAGCGGGAGGGAGGGGACACCCCTTTTTCTTTTTCTTTCTCCAGGGCCTGAAACCTGGCCCAGCCCTGCCGTGTGAACGTGGTCAGAGGGGCCGCCTCTGCAGAAGGAAACCCACCAGGCTCCCAGGATCTGAGAGGCGTGGAGGGGTATTGACAGCTGCAGACTTGCTACCCTGAGC